TGTGGCATCCCTGGGCCAGGTGGTGGCTGTGTGGTGCTGTGTGGCATCCCTGGGCCAGGGGGTGGCTGTGTGGGGCAGCTGTATGTCCACTATCCGCTGTGGGTGTCCTGGTGCCTGGCAGCTTTGTCAGCACTGGGAGTCGTCAGCATTTCTGTGGTGACACTCTAGCAGGTGGGCACCAGGACCTTCGCGTGGCTTTCGCTTGCGTTTCTGTGGTGGCCAGTGACGTGGACTGCCTTCTCAGGAGAAGGCGTGTGGCTGTCCTCCTTGGTGCCCTGTTAGTTTTTGCTCTGGAAAACGGGGTTGTGTCTCCGTAGAGCGGTGTCCCGATGTGCTTTAGGGCACCTGCTGGAAGGGCCTGTGCTGTCTGCGTGACTTGCAGACACTTCCTCGGGGCGGACGCTTGTCCTTTCCGGTATCAGCAGGGTCATTCATTTTTGTGTGTGTGGATTGTGGAGATTTTTTGTCTATCAGGTTGTTAAGAGTGTCTCCTATGCTTTGTTCTAAAAGCTTCCTAGTTTTATATTTTACATTTAGATCACTCATCCATTTTGAGTTTGTTTTTAAATATTCACAGACTCACAAGAAGCTGCAAAAAAATGTGTACGGGGAATACTGTGTACCCGCCGCCCTGCTTCCTCCCGTGGGAATGTGTCCCGTAACTGTGGAACGGTATCAAAGCCAGGAAGCTGGCACTGGCACAGTCCACAGAGCTTACTCAGGGGTCACCGGTTTTCACAGGCACGCGCGCGCATGTGTGTATATAGAGTTTCATGCAATTTTTTTTTCTTTTCATGCAATTTTTTAAAGTTTTTTCATAATGCATTAAAATTTTTTAATTATTTTTGTGGTTAAAAAAAAAAAAGAAATTACCAGCTGGGCACAGTGGCTCACGCCTGTAATCCCAGCACTTTGGGAGGCCAAGGCAGACGGATGACCTGAGGTCAGGAGTTCAAGACCAGCCTGGCCAACGTGGCAAAACCCTGTCTAATAAAAATACAAAACTTAGCTGGGTGTGGTGACGTGCGCCTGCAATCCCAGCTCATCGGGAGGCTGAGGCAGGAGAATTGCTGGAACCGGGGAGGTGGAGGTTGCAGTGAGCCGAGATCGCATCACTGCACCCCGGCCCGGGCGACAACAGGGAAACTTTTGTCTTAAAAAAAAAAAAAAAACAGTTTTCTATATTCAACATTATGCCATCTACGAATAGAGATAGTTTTTTCTTCTTTCTTTCCAGTCTAGATGCCTTTTATTTCCTTGTGTGGCTGCCCTGGCGGGAACCTCGACTCCAGGTCTCCTGCAACACACAAGGGTGGGCGGCGGTGGCGGTGCTGTTGGGGGTGGTGGTGTGGGACAGGGTCTTGCTCTGCCGCCAGGCTCGAGTACGCTGGTGCGATCCAGGTCTCTGCAGACCATACGCTCTAACTTCCCAGGCTCAGGTGATTCTCCTGCCTCGGTCTCCCAAGTATCTGGGACGACAGCCATGTGCCACCACGCCTGGCTTTTTTTTTTTTTTTTTTTTTTTGAGACATGATCTTGCTCTGTTGCCCAGGCTCTGGCATGATCTTGGTTCATTGCAACCCCTGCCTTCCGGGTTCAAGCAATTCTCATGCCTCAGTCTCGAAAGTAGTTGGGTTTACAGGCGTGCGCCACCACCCCTGACTCTTTGTATTTTTAGTAGAGACGGGGCTTCACCATGTTGGCCAGGCTGGTCTCAGAGCTCCTGGCCTCAAGTGAACCACTGCACCTAATTTTTAAATTTTTTGTAGAGATGGGCTTTTGCCAGGCTGATCTAAAACTCCTGTGCTCAAGCAGTCCATCCTCCTTGGCCTCCCAGAGTGCTGGGAGCATAGACATGAGCCACTGTGCCTGGCCAGACGGGCATTTTCTTATCCTGAACCAACCTTGCGTTTCTGTGACAGATCCTGCCGGGTCCCAGGCTGTGCGTTTTTACACACTGCTGGACTTCTTTTCTAAGATTAATGCATCCATATTTGTAAGAGATGTTGTCCTTTAATTTTCCTGGAATGTCTCCTTCTGGTCTGATGTTTTCTTGTGATTTGACTGGGGTGAAGGCACACGCTAGAACCATGATGCATGCTGGTGGTGTGACGTGGACCACCTGGTGAGATGTGTCTGCCAGTTCCCCTCCGTAAAGTCACTGTCTTCCCCATTCCGTAGTGTACGCCCCACGAGGAGGTCAGGCTCCCCCGTAAAGTCACTCTCTTCCCCATTCCGTAGTGTACGCCCCACG